TTCAGGAAAGAATTATTGTTAAAAGACATTACAATGAAAAACAAGCCTGGGCAACTAAAAAAAAAAAAAAAATTAGCTGGGCCTGATGGTGCACACCTGCAGTCCCAGCTACTTGTGAGGCCAAAGTAGGAGGATCCCTTGAGCCCATAAGTTTGAGGCTACAATGAGCTAGGATCATGCCATTGCATTCCAGCCTGGGTGACAGAGATCCTGCCTCAAAAACAAAACAACACAACAAAGGGAAAAAAAGAAAGAAAAAAGGAAAAAAACCCCAAGAAACCAAAAGATGTAAATTGGCTTATTTCACATTTTATATACAAATATGCATACAGATTCAGAAGCGGCATCTACAGAAGTGAGGGAACGCAACAGTGATTAAATAAAACAGTTGCTGCTTTCTGGGAACAAAGTTTCAAATTTGGGAAGAGTCAAACAAATGCAAAGAAAGTGTGGTGAGACACACGTCTTTATTATCAGGCTACCAAAGCACTGAGGAATGAATGCACACAAGAATGGGAAACTTTAGAAAAGGCTACAAGGAAAAATGAAGCAGTTAAATTCAACTAACTAGACCATAAAAATAATTTGTTGTTAGTATTCCTAAACATCACTTCTGTGTAGCAAAATGTTTCACTGTACAAATGCTCACCTAAAGTGAAAAAAATATATAAAGTTTAAAAATAAATCCTAGGGTCCAAGAAAAATTCTCATGTATTTTATGGTATGTGTAACTTAAAGTCTGTGATATTTCTACTTGAAGAAACAGAGGTCCAAGAGAGAATGTTCAAAAATAAAGCTAAAGAAAAACCAGAAAATAGGGTGGGGAGACAGTAATGAAAAGGACAACAAATGTTAAATGCAGTAAAAAAAGCTTTTTGATACACTACTGTATAAGCATCCCTAGCCTTAAATATATAATACATACACACACACACACACACACGCACGAGAGAGACCAAGTCTCAACTGTTGCCCAGGCTGGAGTTTAGTAGCACGATCACAGCACACTGCAGCCTTGACCTCCCGGGACTCAGGTGATTGCCCCACCTCAGCCTCTCAGCTGGCAATCACAGGTGCATGTCACCCCGCTGGCTGATTCTTGCATTGTTTGCAGACAGCAGGTTTCACTACGTTGCCCAGGTTGGTCCTGAAATACTGGGCTCAAGCCATCCACTTGCCTCGGCCTCCCAAAGTGCTGGGATTACAGGATTCAGCCACCACATCAGGCCTTCAGCCTTGTATTTCCACTTCTGGGAGATTATTCCAAAAATAATCAGGGATGTAAAAGATTTAGATGCCTAGAAATTTCAGCATCTAAAATTCAGCATCTACACTGGTCCAAAAGTAACTGCAGTTTCAGACCATGAATTTTAAATCATTGTAACTAAGCTCAAATACATTTTTATTAATCAAAATAGGAACCATTACAATCAACACAATTTTAAGTTTGTTTATTCCTGTAGTGTAGAAATCTGTGCTTCAGGATTTGATGAATTCTGGGGAAAGCATTTTCTGCATCCTGCTAGTTATGGAAGTTTTTTCCTGCAAAAAGGTGTTGTGATGCTTGAAGAAGTGGTAGTCGGTTAGAGAGGTCAGGTAAATATGGCAGATGAGACAAAACATCATAACCTGATTTGTTCAACTTCTGAAGCATTGGTTGTGCAACATGTGGACAGGCATTGCCATGAAGAATTGGGCCGGCCTCTTTTTGTTGGCCAATGCTGACTGCAAGTGTTGCCAAGTTTTGGGTGCATCTCATCAATTTGCTGAGCATACTTCTCAGATGTAATGGTTTCCTCCGTGGATCAGACCAGCAGCAGACCACCAAGCAGTGACTATGACCTTTTTTTGGTGCAAGTTTGGCTTTGGGAAGTGCTTTGGAGCATATTCTCAGCCCATCCACTGAGCTGGCCATCCCCGGTTGTCATATAAAATCCACTTTTTCTTGTACTTCACGATCTGATCAAGAAATGATTTGTGGTTGTATAGAATAAGGGCAAATAACAGGCACTCACTTATCAAGCTTTTTCACTTTTCAATTTACTTTAAATGCTGAATGACTATAGATGGTCCACATTGAGTTCTTTGGCAACATCTCAAATAGTTGTAAGAGGATCAGCTTTGCTGATTGCTCTCAACTGGCAGTTACCAACTTCTGACAGCTAGCCACTAAGCTTCTCATCTTCATGGCTCTCCTCCTCTTTGCAAAACTTCTTGAACCACCCCTGCACTGTACGTTCATTAACAGTTCCTGAGCCAAAATGCACTGCTCATGTTGTAAGGTGTCTCTGCTGCTTTGACCCATTTTGAACTCAAATAAGAAAACTGCTCAAATGTGCTTTTTGTCTAGCATCATTTTCATGGTCTAAAATAAACAAGCAGGCCAGGCGAGGGGGCTCATGCCTGTAATACCACCACTTTGGAAGGCTGAGGTGGGCAGATCATGAGGTCAGGAGATCAAGGCCATCCCGGCTAACACAGTGAAACCCTGTCTCTACTAAATACACAAAAAATTAGCTGGGCATGGTAGCACACGCCAGTAGTCCCAGCTACTCGGGAGGCTGAGACAACGAGAATCACTTGAACCGGGAGACGGAGGTTCCAGTGAACCCAGATCATGCCACTGCACTCCAGCCTCGGTGACAGAGCGAGACTCCACCTCAAAATAAATATATAAATAAATAAAATGAACATGAAATAAACAGCAAGTAGTAAGTCATTACTAAAAAAAAAAAAAGAAATGCCCATTAAAATGATGTATAACATATCCACGTTTATTTAACAATGTAGTCCAACATCAAATGGCAAGTGCCAGTAATGCAAAAACCACAATTATTTCTGCAACAACCTTCTTAGACACAATATTTTGCAAAACATGTGCAAGTATATTCACTGACATATTACTGCCGTTACATAAAAATAAGCGGGTTACATAAATTACGGTGTATTTATCCCACAAAACACTATGAAGGCATAAAAGATGCTTTATGACAAAATATTTTCAATGTTCCCAATGTCTATAAACAAAAATAGATGGTAAGAAAATGAGCAAAACTAGAATATTTTCTAAAACAAAACCACGAAAGACAAAGCCTTTTGTGTAACATATAACTACAGTTTAAACTGTAACTATCTTTTGCAAGATAGTTTTGGGCTTTTTAGTAATATCCAAATGTCCATGCATTATTTGGATTAGATAATAAAAGTTTAAACTTTGATAGTGGAATTTCGGATGCTTACTCCCTGGAAAGTTCAGTAATACATTGTTTTAGAAGGTCTTCTAAAAAACTGTTTCACCCCTCAACACTCCTATTTACAAGATCTTTACATGAGAAATTTTTAAATACGCAGGATGGGTATCACAAAAATATGCATTTTTTTTTTTTTGTGAGACGTTGTCTTGCTCTTGTTGCCCAGGCTGGAATGCAATGGCGCGATCTCAGCTCACCGCAACCTCGGCTTCAAGGGTTCAAGTGATTCTCCTGCCTCAGCCTCTCGAGTAGCTGGGATTACAGGTGCCCACCATCCCGCCCAGCTAATTTTTTGTATTTTTGGTAGACAAGAGGTTTCACTATGTTGGTCAGGCTAGTGTCGAACTCCTGACCTCAGGTGATCCACCCGCCTCGGCCTCCCCAAGTGCTGGTATTACAGGCGTGAGCCACTGAAATGTGCATGTTTTATGATAAAAACATTAGGTGCTTCGAAATCCAGAAATGAGAACCACATAAATGGGTAAACAAATCCGCAAGGATGTCCTGATTTTGGGATTTCATTCTAAAATATTACACCAGGAAGCTAATTATATAGACTCATTTGAATCTGAACAAACAAAACATCTCTGAACTACTTTTCGTCCATTCTAGTATTCCTCTGCTAATCCACAGAAAGTTTTTCCAGGTGGTCCCCCGTAATTCTAAAGATTTTTACAGACATTATGACTCACCTCAGTAATGCCTTGAGATATTTGCCACTGAGATGTTCTGTTTTCTTCAGCACAACTGCCAAAAACCCCAGTAATTATTAAGTCACACAACCATTTTCTAGTCTTGAGCGCCACCAATATAGCAGTACGGTTTAAAACAGGTATTCAGGGTAATTATTAGGATCTATCCAGTATGATTAGGTCACGCACTAGAAATACCAACATACAGTTCACTTTCTTAATGAATACTTTTGAGTAAAATCCCTGTTATAAATAAAAAACTGATTCTGCTAAGACGTTTTCTTACTGAGAAAATTTAGTCCATGTGGGTATTACTGACAATAGTCACATTTAAAAAAATCATTCCGTTCTATAAAACTAGTTAATTTATACTCCAATTTCCCTATTTAAAAATATGTGTCTGTTTCACTGAACAAAACACAAGATGTTAACAAAACAAGATCAACGTCTATCTTATCTGGGACGTCCTTGTGTCTGTTTTCAGTCCTACAAAATCAGTTTCCTTTCAAAAAGTAGCATAAGCCTCGTGCGGAGTGACACACACGCTTGTCTACTAAGGTTACAGAAGCAGCGTCTGCGCTGGCAAGTAAACGCCTCAGCATCCAGAAAGCCAGCGCTTTCTCCAGTTTCCTCACAGCTTTATCGCGCGAGGCGCACGCGGAAAGCTCTCTCCCAGGATGTTTTTAAGAACCACTTCTTCGCTGTCTTAATTAAGAGGCTCCCACAGCTGGTGCCAAACAGGTGGAGAATATGGCAAGTCCCCGAAATGCATTTCCAAAGACAGAAACTCAGAGAGGGACAGGATCCAGAAAATCTCTCACATTCTCGAGAGCCCAAATGATCACCTCCAAAAAAGAGGTTTCTCTCTCCACCACCTCTCTTTCTCTCGGCGGGAGAGGAAGCCTCGCCCCCTTTCATCCCACCCCTTCTCCCCACCCCGTCGCCAAGAACTGACTTGAAACCATGGCTGCCCGCGGCCCCCTTACTTCCGGTGCCGGTGTCGCTAGAGCTGCGCCATCCCCCCCAGTCAATCGGACAACCACAGCCTCCAACTGACCTTTTGACAGCTCTGAGACTCCTCCGTCCAAGACTAGGTGCTGTCCTGGAGGAAACGGTGCATGGCTGCCGCAGAAAAACGAATCTACCAAATGAAAACTCCGTTTCCCTCTCGCCAGAAACCTAAAACGCGATGGAGCTGCGGCCACAGCTGCCGAGACAAAATGGCGCCGGGAAGCTGGTTTGGCGCAGGCGCCTGGGAAAGACACTGCCCCGCCCCCGTGCAAGCCCCTGGCTGCAATTCTGGGTTCCGTTTCCATGGGACACTCCGCCGCCAATCCTCGTGCCGAACTGCTCTTCCTGACCCCTCAATTCACCAATCAGTGTCCAGTCAAGCACATCCGGAGTCGTGTCTACCAATCAATTCTCAGGACTTGCTTACTCAATAACCAACTCTCCAATAACGTTGGTCTTCAGAAAAAACCAATCATAAGTGGAAGATGTCCTACCTGCTGTTTTTCGCACCAATCCATGAAGTTTCAGAGCTACATCCAATGAGGACAGCAGGTAGCGAGGTCCTATCCGAAGCTCTTCGGCGTCATGAACAGCCAATAGGAGTTCGTGTAGAAGCGAGTCGGCTCAACAGCTTGTTATTTGGTGGATTGTGGCAGTAAATCGGGGCGAGTGGGGAACCGGGCGCAGGAACTGTCGCCGCGGCCGGGAGTGGTGCTGCCCGGACGGGGGCCCACGGAGGTCAGAGGGGCGGAGGACTCTGGAGCTGACAGCGCGCACTTCACCCGCAGTTGGTAGGTGGGGAGAGGGGAATCGGGGGATACTGAATGGACGAAGCGGCAGTAGCAGCTGCTGCTGCTGCCCGGGGTCCCGGTGCAGTTGGAAGCTTTGGAGGTGGGGAGAGGGATGCTAGGCAAGTGGTGCGGCTAGCGCAAGGGAAGGGGCCAGCCGTGGAGAAGCGGCAGGAACTGCGGGAACCGCCGCCGCCGCTGCAGCCGCCTCCTCGTCCGCTTCCCCGGGTTCCCGGGAAAATGGCTGTGGGGCTGGCTGCGCCGCTAAGTTTGCTTCCGCGCGGTAGAAGCGGGCTGCTTGGAGGAGCCGTCCCCCAACTCTGCGGCCCTTCCACCCCTGCGGAGTCCGTGGCAGGACTGGAGGGGCCGGGGGCTGATATCTCTCTGGGCTGTACAAAAAGTTGAGGCGGGCGCGGGGAGGAGGCGGCGGCTGCTGCGGTGCGGTTCCCCTCCCCTCCCACACCCAGTCCGGGCCACCTCCCCTCCTCCTCCCTCCGCCCCCCGCCCCCTCCCCCGCGCGGTTCTCCCGAGGCTTTGGCGGCTCCCGGCTGAAGGCCGCGGCCCCTGCCCCTTCGGGTGAAGGAGCGCTTCTCCTTCCTGACATGGTGCAGAGCGAAGAAACGAGAGCAATGGCGCCGTGACACTCCGCTGCCGCCACCGCGGGCCCGGGGCTGGCCAAGGGGGCCGAGCGGCGGAGGCGGGGCGCGGGCCGAAGTCGGGGTATCCGGGGGACAGCGGAGCGGAGGCTTGGCGGTCGCCTCCGCGGGGGACCTGGGGAAGCCCGAACGGCGCCTTGCCCTTTTCCCGAGCTATCTGTCCTGGAGCTCCGAGTTGAGCATTCCGGGTCCAAGTGGCCATCGAGGCGGGGGCGCGGTGGGCCGCTGGCGAGCTCCGGGGCGGAACGGGCTGCTCTTTGGCGCGCCTAGGGTTCTAGCTGCCCCTTCAGATCCTGCGTCTGCCCTCGGAGAGGGGTCTTGTCCCTTGACCGGTGACAATTCTGCCCCGCCCGCTGACGTTTGTTTACTTTCTTTCCTTTGGTCGCTCCCCGCAGTTGACTGATTCTGTGCCGGTCTTTCCCCCTCCCCGTAGTTCTGGCGACTGCAAAGATAGCTCGCTGAGCTGGAACCCCACAGATCACCAACAAAAATGAAGGTAAGTGGAGTCAACACTGCCCCGATCCACGCGCCCTGGACACTGCCAGTCGTGAGACTAGTGCCTTGGAATGTCATTTGTTTGCTACTCAAAATTGATGTCCCTACTGAGCAGCAGTTTCGGCAAAGGAGGATGTGTTGAATGGGTGAGAAATGATCTGTGTGTCTAAATGCGGAGTTTGGGCCCTCTCTGTAGCAGCACTTCGGAAAGGCTGCTGCAGCCTTTCAGTTGTTGTCCATTAGGATAGTATTTTTAAACACTTCCTGTATTGGCAGCAACCTTTGCAGAAGTAAAGCTTTTGTCCTGCTTTGGTTCTTTGGGGGATTTTTTGAAAATTTTTTTCTTCCCCAGTGCCAATGTGATTTTCTAAGAGAAAGAATATGTGGATTAAGTAATGAAGGTATCATTTCTTCTGTGTGTTTAGTGAACTCATGTGGATAAAATATTTGAAGTTGAACTATATTATAGTTTTAGTTAAATCTGTACAGTAAATATTTAAAAACATATACTGACCCTAAAAAAATGCATATTCTACTGAGAATGACTGCAGATAACAGTATGTGGATGGTTAAAGGGAAAGGATCTCATATAACATTCTTGAATGCTGTGGCCGTTGAATGTTTCAGGTCAGATTTTTATTTGCCAAAAGCATTCCTATTCAATTTGTATTTCTTGTAAATGCACTTACTTTAAAACGTACCTAATTCCTGTCTTATTTACTGTTTCGGTATATTAAGCTCTGAAACACAGCATTTTCCCAAACTTTCTCATGGCTTTCTATTTTCTCGAAGTAAATGACTGTTTAACTTTCTTTAATATTACTTGGGAAAACTTATTGGAAAACAAAAAAACATTTTCTACTTAAAAACGTATCTCCAAAGTATACACTGTTACCTTTGCATTTAACAATGTTAAGTTGAACTTGTATGGATACACTTTAACTTCTGGGGGAAAAAAAAAAAAGGTGAAATGACAGATTGAGATAACAATCATCCTGTTACCGTTAAGATTAAAATGAGTGGTAGAGTGAAATTTCTCACATCTTTCGATGTATCATTCTGATCATGTCCGTTTGCTAAAAGTAGATGTTTATTAGTGCTTATATTTTTATACTAAGAAGATTAGTGTGGTAAACTAGTTATGTCTACAAGTCTTGAGCCATGGATTCATATCTGCATTCATTGGCTGAATTCAAACTTAAAACCTTTCAAATGCAGCTTTTAGCCAATGAATTTTCCCAATTATACTCTCCTTATGAAAAGATGTTACCTTTATATAGCTATGTCAATGAACAATTAATCTATTTTTAGTGTTAGTTTAAGTAGCAGTATTTATTTTAATTTGAAATTAAATAAATTTATTAAATTTTTTAATATATAATTATTTAAAAAACTTATTTTCAGGAGGCTATAAATGAATAACTTAATTTTATGATATGTGTAATATGAAATATTTTCTTGTCTTATTTTTCTGCTTATATAAATAGTAGAATTTTTGAAAAATTTTGTATCTGGAGAAAAAACATTGTATTTCGTCACTGATAATTTTGAATTACAACTTTAAAACATTTTATCATATCGGGACATCAGTATATAAAATAAAGGGTTGCTAATCAAGTGTTTGCTTTAGGGTATTTTCAAATTTTCAGTGATACTAATAAGTTATTTAAATATTCTTAATGCTTCAAACACAATCTTTTAATGAGACTCGAGGTTGGAGTAGGGAGAGGTAGTAATGACATTCACAGTTTATGTTCTTTTCACCAGGCGGCGGATGAGCCTGCCTACCTGACAGTGGGAACTGATGTCAGTGCCAAGTACCGAGGTGCCTTCTGTGAGGCAAAGATTAAGACTGTGAAAAGGCTGGTGAAAGTTAAGGTAATATCTGTTTTTATGCAATAGTTTTATTAACTCTAGATTTAAGAAAGTTGGGGAGAGACTGCAAATCAGCATTTTATTGAGTCATTATATGAAGATACTAAACTTACAGGAAAAGCACATTAAAAATTGAGAAATAAAGAACTTGGCTGGTGGCTCACGCCTGTAATCCCAGCACTTAGGGAGGTTGAAGCCGACAGATCACAAGGTCAAGAGATCAAGACCATCCTGGCCAACATGGTGAAACCCTGTCTCTACTAAAAATACAAAAAAATTAGCTAGGCGTGGTGGCCTGTGCCTGTAGTCTCAGCTACTTGAGACTGAGGCAGGAGAATCGTTGGAACCTGGGAGGAGGAGGTTGCGGCAAGCCGAGATCACACAGCTGCACTGCAGCCTGGCAACAGAGCGAGTCTCCCATTTCAAAAAAAAAAAAAAAAAAAGCTAGGTGTGGTGGCTCATGTAATCCCAGGACTTGGGAGGCTGAGGCAGGCGGATCACCTGAGGTTGAGAGTTCAAGACCAGCCAGACCAACATGGAGAAAGTGTGTCTAAAAATACAAAATTAGCCAATGTGGTGGCCCATGTCTGTAATCCCAGCTACTCGAGGGGCTGAGGCAAGAGAGTCCCTTGAACCTGGGAGGCGTAGGTTGCAGTGAGCCAAGATCATGCCATTACACTCCAGCCTGGCTGACAAGAGTGAAACTCCAGCTCCAAAAAAAAAAAAAAAAAAAACACCCTCAAAAAGGGAAATTATTCCAAAATGCTACCACCAACAAAATGCTACCACCAAAATACGATGCTAATGATATTTTCTGTCATTTGGATCTTAACTATTTGTGGGAGCATACTTGGACTGTAATCTATTTTCTCCCCTCTTATAATGTTCAGGTAGAAACAATTTCGGTGTTTAAGACAATACAAATACAATGGGAATTATGTTTTTAAGATAGTGTAAAAAAGCATTTAAGAAGTTAACTTTGGGCTGGGCATAATCCCAGCACTGAAGGAGGGCCAAGTGAGCAGGCTTGGCCAACATGGCGAAAACCTCTCTCTACTAAAAATGCAAAAATTAGACTGGGCGTGGTGGCTCATGCTTGTAATCCTAGGACTTTGAGAGGCCAAGATGGGTGGATCACATGAGATCAGGAGTTCAAGACCAGCCTGACCAACATGATGAAACCCCGTCTCTACAAAAATACAAGAATTAGCTGGCTGTGGTGGCAGGTGCCTGTAATCCCAGCTACTCAGGAGGCTGAGGCAAGAGAATCACTTGAATCCAGGAGGTGGAGGTTGCAGTGAGCTGAGATGGTACCATAGCACTTCAGCCTGGGCAACAGAGCAAGACTCTGTCTCAAAAAATTAACTGAGTATGGTGGTGCACACCTGTATTCCCAGCTATTCAGGAGCCTGAGGCAAGAGAATCACTTGAACCTGGGGGATGGAAGTTGCAGTGAGCTGAAGTTCCACCACTGCACTCCAGCCTGGATGGCAGAGGGAAACTGACTTAAAAATATATACAGTATATATATTTGGCTGTGTGAGGTGGCTCACACCTGTAATCCCAGCAGTTGGGAAATCTGAGGAGGGAGGATTACTTGAGCCAAGGAATTCAAGACCAGCATGGGCAACGTAGTGAGATCTTGCCTGTTCAAAAATAAAAATTATAAAATTAGGTGGTGTAGGCATCTGTGGTCCCAGCTGCTCTGGAGGCTGAGATGGGAGGATTGCTTGAGCCTGGGAGGTCAGGGCTGCAGTGAGCTGTGGTGGTGTGACTGCACTCCAGCCTGGATGACAGGGCCAGACCCTGTCTCAGAAAAAAAGAAAAATTATTTTTTTAAGATGCTTTTATTCGGGAATAACTTTTTTTTTTTGGTGATTCCTTCTAGTAGTTTTCTTATATGAATATATTTTTAATAGTCTCTGTTACTTTATACTTAAATTTAAAAAGTAATCAATGCTTATTATAAACATTTTTTACATTATAGAGGTATAAATATAGTTTATGAAGTCCTCCTCCTTAAAAAATTTTATTTCAGTTGACAAATAATAATTTTACATATTCGTGGGCTACATAGTTATGTTTTGCTACATATAATGTATGGTGATTAAGTCAGGATAATTAGCTTATCCATCATCTCAAACATTTTACATTTCTTTGTGTTGGGAATATTCAGCATCCTGGTCTCCACCATTTGAAACCATGTAGTATAGCATTGTTAACTGTATTCATCCTGCAGTGGTATAGAACACTGTGAAAGTCCTCCTTGATAGGACTCCAAAGAGATTTGATGCAGTCTTCCAGATTGTTTTACTGTGCTTGTCATACAGTTATTGTCATTGGTATTAGATTATGCTATATTGCAGTTTGCAGTTTGCTTTATTCACTTATATATCCGATGTTTTCCTATCAGAATTAAGCACCATAAAAGGAGGAAACGTCTGACTTGTTCTATGCCCAACACATAGAATAGTGGTATATAGTGGACACTCAAAATTTGTTGAATGAATGAATGATCTAGAGCAGTGGTGCCTAAAGTGTGGCCCTAGACCAGCAGCATCAGCCTTAACCTGGGAACTTGTTCCAAATGCAAAATTTCCCCACT